TCTTGTAGATCCTACGTTGGCAGCGTTTATCGTATGCGGTCCCTTGCAGTTTATGGTTTACTATTCTTAAGGGTTATTGACCAGGCATGAGGTCAAGGTGGCTGGATATATGCCAAAAACCCCTTTTTTGTGTGTGTTTATGGACCGAAACGGAGCCGCGGTTCATAAACACGCAAAAAGAGAACGAGGCCAATATCCAGTCATCTTGACCTCACGCTTGGTCAATAGAGGATTTATTATATGAGTCGAGATGAAAAACACTGCGCACAGGCGCACAACATTCAATTCCATTGTCTCGTCCAAATGTTCCCAAATCGACCCATTTCTTCTTTCGAACAACAGTGTGTGCTGTACGTCTTTGCATCCAATAGAAACAAATTAGAATGAGATGTTGCTTCTACCATCCGAACCAAGAGAAAGGTTGCAGAAATGTAAAGAAAGTGTAGCAAGAGAAAATGCAGATTTATGCAATTTAAGGCCTTCATTCATTTAACCCTTTGAATACCAAACTTTAGCCAAAAAATACCGTTTTTAACCGTTTAGTCAGGTTTTTTAGCTGCCATGACGCTAAATAAGCCTAAGTTTTGCTAAGAAAGCTTTTTTTACTAAAAGGAGAGATTTTTCGAGGATTAGGCACAAATCTGAGTAAAATTTCAATTCCGGGCATGCGCATAAGCCAAAATTTGGACTTTTTTTTTTGCCATTAACCGTTCTCAATTTTGTTTGTTGTCCCCTTTCCTTTCCGTTTTTCTCGGCCCTTTTACACTGCTACCTTTTGTGTTGTATGTTCTTTCTGGCTGCGTGAAAAGTTGGACGTTAATTACGGGCGAAGCCTAGAAATGGACCTTGATCAATCATAGGCGTAGTGGTCCATTTTACCGCCGTTTTTGCACCAAAACTGATAACGTTTTTCGATTTGCGACGTCGGAATGTCGTCGATATCTAAACCTGACCATTGTGCGGAAAGGCCTAGCCTAGTACTACTATCTGCTCATCAAGGCTATCTGATGACATTTAAATTGATGACGTCACAAGTGGTACAAAGAGCACGACCATTAAGTGGCCGTATATGGCCACTTAGGCGTCAAGAGGTTAATATTTTAGCGGGGAAAATTACCTCCACTTGAATAACCAAAGGAGAGGAAATAACAGTTCTAATCACACGTGCATTGATAACGTAAAAACGTAAGGTAAAAACGTAAACAACAACTTCGCGGGGGTCTTATGATTGAAAACTTTAATCATCGCCACAAAGTTTGGTGCTTGTATCTAAAATCGCACAATTCAAGAGCTATGCCGCCTGACTAGAGTAAAACATCTTACCTTAGAAATGGCTTTGTCGGTTAAGACCCAAACCCATTCTGTTATCATATCTAGTTGCTCCGCTTGTTGCAGCACTTGTGGTACATAACTAGCAGAACAGCTTAACAGTATGACGCGTGCGCCCTTCTCTCTCAGGCTCTGCAGTTCTTTTGTAGCGTTAATCTTAGGGCTACCGGGAGTAACCGGAAAATGTTCGATGCCGAGGATCTCCCACTGTTCTCGTGTAGCAAATTCTTTGAATTCCGTGAGAGTATTCATGTCTAAAATATGGGCAAGTAAAGAAACAGCATGAGTGGGATGAATTGCGCTACTGTAGGCAGGAAGCCTATATATATCTGAACGATTTCGCAAAAACATGGCCGCTAGGTTTTCGCCTGGACGCGAATCCAGGCTAAGCAGGCGCCTTAAAGCCCGGGGGGGGCTCCCTCAAGGCTAGGCTGGCTGAGTTTCTGGAGTCGGACTAGTTCAAAAACATTTAATTGCTACTCGGAGTTTCATTCTCCTAATGAAGCAATCATTAGACAACTGACAACAATAACGGTTACATGTAAAGATATACAAATTTGAAAATGGGGAACAATGCTTACTAGCGTGACATGTCGGGATGTGATTGGACGGCAAAAATGCTAAACGGTCGGGTGAATCTATATTAGGTTAACGCGGTACTTAACAAGAATTTCTTAGAATGTCTGCAGGTCGATGTCATTTCGTTTCTATGGTGAAGTGTCGACATGTCCGGTTTACAAATTATAAAATATTTCTCCCATAGGCAAATATTACATTTTTTCAGGGGCACCCAACGACCGTTTTCTCTCTAATGCTGTTAGATGCTGTTTTAGGCTATCTGGAGTACTTTTAAGGCTCTGTAGGTTAATTTTAGGT